CACCTCGCTCAGCCAGTGAGCGGGAACCGGTCTGTATGTAGGATCTGAACCCTCGGCGGGAGCGCCGCCGTGCTCCCAAGCGGCGCACTGTAGCAGTGCGCCACCGGGCCGGCCCCCTCATGGACCATTTCTAGCTTTACCATTAACATATCAGTTATCTAATTCGTAAAGGGCCATGAAAATCAACTACATTGTAAAAAAATTAATTAATTTTTTAAAAATGTATCAGTTATCTATTGCTGTGTAAAAACCATCCTAAACTTAGTGGCTTTAAACAACAACAGTTCATTCTCTCTCATGATTCTGTGGCTCAGGAGTTTGGGCAGGGCCTCTGGGCACTTCCTCTACTTTTGACATCAATGGCTACATTTGGCTGTCCATGGGGAAGGGCTGGAAGGTTTAAGAAGGCTCCATATGCCTGGTGTCTCAGAGGTCCTTCATGTGGCTCCTCTCTTTCCATGTGGATCTATGCAACAAGGAGGGAGGGAACCGCTGATGGTCACTGTTAAAGGCTCCATATGCCTGGTGTCTCAGAGGTCCTTCATGTGGCTCCTCTCTTTCCATGTGGATGTATGCAACAAGGAGGGAGGGAACCGCTGATGGTCACTGTTAGAAACTGCCTGGCATGTTATTACATGATCCTATGCTCTGGAAATGTGCACATTCTCAATAAGCACTTCTTGGGCACCTTCCAGGGCTGAGGTCCTGGCCATGTACTAATCACCACAGTGCACAAAACCTTCCTGTCTTCACAAAGCTGATCACTAACATGAGCCCTGAAGCCATAATCCTTTGAGCTCCAGCTGGCATCTGGTCCCCTCCCAACAGTGAGAGCAATGGAAGTGAACCATCAGAGCGTTTCTTGACAGGGATATTTGGGGACTCTTTGGCAAGGTTGATGACCATCTCCCTGGCTCCCTTCCAGATTCCACAGATGGTGAGGGTGACTGGAGTCTCTGGTCTGTCTGCAGTGTCACCTGCGGAAACGGCAACCAGAAGCGGACCCGGTCTTGTGGCTATGCATGCACTGCAACAGAATCTAGGACCTGCGACCGTCCAAACTGCCCAGGTGAGCTTGGATGGGGGTATGGTTCCAAGTTCAAGGGGCAGCTTTTAATTTATATTTTAAAACTTATAGAAATTGACTTTTTAAAAGACGACCATTATCTCAATAAGACTTTGGCCAGAGTGAGACAACAGGAGACAATTAATGAGCTTAAAGGATGGAGAGATGGATTTGCCAAGTCTTGTGCACGATTGCAGTCGCTGTGACTTAAAGGATAATGTCATGTTGTACTTAACGGAGGGACTCTGGTTAGTTTGGGCCTTTGATGTGGGATTTGTTGTGCTTTGAAGAGACACGTGAAGACAGATATTCATGGTCTGATAAGGAAGCCAGGACGAGAGGCTTGACAGCCATCCACAGGAAAACCACATGGTTAGCCCTGCAGGTAACACCGGAGAGTTTCCAAAGGCTCCCAAGAGAGCAAAGTACGTCAACTTGGAAGTTAATTATCACTTCATATGGCAGACGTTGTCAGTGCTTTAAAAATGAAACTGATTGCATACTTGGTCATATTGGGAGTGAGAAATAAGTGGGACCGTACCAGCGGTTGTCAAACTGTGGCTGATGGGCCATGTCCAGCCAGTGACCTGTTTTTGTAAGGCTCATACACTTTTAAAGGATTGTGAGGAGGAAGAAGAAGGAGACCAACATTATATGTGACCCACAAAGCCTAAAATATTTACTGTCTCACCCTTTGCAAAACGCTTATCAACCCCAGGTCTATGGTGTTACTGTGTGTAGCTCATTGCCAGGTAGCACCAGCCTAAAACAGTGTCTTAGGCCCTTTCAAGAAACCACACATTCCAAATGGCTTCATCTGAAAGAACTTCAGAGACAGAAAATCTGATCCCTGTACCCAGACTTCCTTTTTCTACCCCTAGACACTCTATTCTCAAACCAGAGATGTTTGGAACAAAAAAAGAACTGGAAGCAAAAAAGGGGTTTGTGAGGAGAAAGGACGAATCAGATTGGAATGACTATGAATGTTAGCAAAAGGGCGTGCAGAAAATGGGCTGAAATGTAAGAAGTGGCTGTTGTGGCTCCGTGTCAACCATGCAGACGGATTTCAAAAAAGTGGAGCAAAGACCCGGATGCTTTTTCTGATCTTTCCCACATTCGTCATAATGAGCAGAGTGGGAAGTGTGCTGGAAGTCTGGAGGGTGGATTTGGATGGGTAGAAATAAACCAAAAAACAATAATAATATGAGGAGAAGGAGAAATTAAGAAACTGAAGAAGGAAGAGAAGGAAATGCAAAGAAGATGGTGAAGAAAATAACAATGGGGGCTAAAAGACGAAGCCAAAGAAAATAAGGATAATGAAGAAGATGAAGAAAAATGAAAAAGATGATGAAGAATAAGATTTTTTTGAATACTTCAGTATCAAGCAAATTTTTAAAATTTTTTCAACTATTTCATTTAATCCTCACAATAGCCTCATGAAATAGGTATCTATTATTGTACCCATTTGACAGCTGTAGAAACTGAGGCACAGGGAATTAATTCGCCTAGAGACACACAAGCAACATGGGCTCATCTGGAATTGAATCCAGGCAGTCTGATTCCAGAGTCCACGTTCTCAACCATTAACCTCTGTTGCCTGCATCAGGCTCAGCCATGTGTGGATACAGACTTTGAACGTCAGGGGCTGGGGCTTGCCTGTTGTCTTCACTTCCAGAGCTGGCATCCAGACCCAGGGTGGTAGACATAGACACCTCGTCAGGGGAAGGCGCTTCTCTGCCACCACTTGTTCTGCTTCCTCCTTGTTCTCGTCACCACCTAGAGCAGTGCAGCCAAGGGTGGTAGACATAGACCCCTCGTCAGGGGAAGGCGCTTCTCTGCCACCACTTGTTCTGCTTCCTCCTTGTTCTCGTCACCACCTAGAGCGGTGTGGCCAGGGAAGGCGCTTCTCTGCCACCACTTGTTCTGCTTCCTCCTTGTTCTCGTCACCACCTAGAGCAGTGCAGCCAGCAGCCCTGCTCATGCATTTTCTTCTCAGCCCTGCTCATGCATTTTCTTCTCAGCCCTGCTCATGCATTTTCTTCTCAGTTGTCCTTGCCCTCTTTCCATCCTTTCTGTCTCTCCAGCATTTTCAGCATTTTATTTCAGCATTTTAGGGCTTTCTTGGAACAGGAAGGATTTCCTTTTGCAGGATCTCTTTCCTTATGTGGTTTGTTGATTCTCAGCCTTGCTGGAAATAGTCATGGGGCAGACAAGGTCTCCCTGGCCTGGCAGTGATTACACTGTAAAAGTTCATCCCCTAGGTCAACTCTACAAAGAAATTTGAGGGTCCTCACATAAAATCGGAGAGAGCCCTGTAAGGGAAATCAAGTCATCTTTAGCAGGAAAGCCGAGGCTCACCAGCAAATGTTCTGTGGCCCTCCATGCCTTCCCCTTCTCATTGCTTTAGCTTGCACAGGATTCCTGTTTGTAAAGGAAGCCTTGTTAGGGGTGGTAGTTTGGGGAGTGAGGGATGGGGGAGATGGGANTCTCTGCCACCACTTGTTCTGCTTCCTCCTTGTTCTCGTCACCACCTAGAGCGGTGTGGCCAGCAGCCCTGCTCATGCATTTTCTTCTCAGTTGTCCTTGCCCTCTTTCCATCCTTTCTGTCTCTCCAGCATTTTCAGCATTTTATTTCAGCATTTTAGGGCTTTCTTGGAACAGGAGGGATTTCCTTTTGCAGGATCTCTTTCCTTATTTGGTTTGTTGATTCTCAGCCTTGCTGGAAATAGTCATGGGGCAGACAAGGTCTCCCTGGCCTGGCAGTGATTACACTGTAAAAGTTCATCCCCTAGGTCAACTCTACAAAGAAATTTGAGGGTCCTCACATAAAATCGGAGAGAGCCCTGTAAGGGAAATCAAGTCATCTTTAGCAGGAAAGCCGAGGCTCACCAGCAAATGTTCTGTGGCCCTCCATGCCTTCCCCTTCTCATTGCTTTAGCTTGCACAGGATTCCTGTTTGTAAAGGAAGCCTTGTTAGGGGTGGTAGTTTGGGGAGTGAGGGATGGGGGAGATGGGAGGTTTGAGGAAAGCTGGGCTCGGTTCTCAGAGCAAGTAATAACAAGCCTGGCTTTTTCTTTCTGAAGCATCGCTGAGAATGCTAAAAGTCCAGGACTATGAAATATCTGGTCTTTGGCTATAGACTGCTACACCCTCAATGAGCCAGACAAGTAATTGGCTAGATAAATGAGCTAGACAAATATTGCAGGGAAAAATATCCACTAACACTTACCACTTACTGCTCTATCTAAGTGCTTTCTTTACACGTAACTCATTTAATTCTTTCAACCCTGTGAGACGGGGCATTTAGTTCTCCCCACTTTAGGGATGTGAAAACTGAGGCACGCATGTGAAAGGTGAAATGGCTTGCCCAAGGTCACATGGCTAGTAATGATTTGAACCCAGGCAGTCATTGAAGACAAGGTGTTGACAATTACACTCCATTGCCGCTGGCTTAGTTTGTCACTCTGACATCATAGACAGCTATCCTGACATGTGCCCCCACTGCCCAAAAGCCCATCCCCAGGCCTAATGAGTGAGTTCCTTAGGACTCATTCAGGCACATTTGGATCTGATTTCATGCTGCAAATGGTATCTGGGGTTTTAATATATTTTATGCGCTACTACCTGCTTTTTACTGTTTCCTCTGTTGGCAAGTAGTTCTGCCCAGGAGTTGTAATGAGTACAGAAAGCCTTTGTTCAGGTGTATTCGTTTTTTATTTGCGGGGAGTGGGGGGGTAACTTTTTCCTACGTGTAACTAGGGAAAAATGAGCTTTTGTCTGTGTTTAGGAATTGAAGACACTTTTAGGACAGCTGCCACCGAAGTGAGTCTGCTTGCGGGAAGTGAGGAGTTTAATGCCACCAAACTGTTTGAAGTTGGTAAGAAGATTTTTTTTTCTTTTTTATCCAAATATTGATTTAGTGCTTTGGAGATTCCTTTTGCCTTTGCAGTGCCATCTTTGGATCCATGTAAATGTTTCATTTTCCTCTTCTGGGATCCAATTCTCCCAGCATATTTCTTGCTCGGTGAATATACTCCAAGCGAGAAAGAGCAATCTCATCCCTCCTACACCACACTGAGCCATTACAGTACCTCTGTGTCCACCCTGCTCACTACACAGACTTCACAGCAGCTGGTGGGCAGGGGACATTCTCTTCCCTTAGCATGGAATCGTTCCATGGTGGGGATGGAATCATTTTCACAGCCTTCACTGAGCATCCTCAATAAAACCAAGAAATGGTCTTGGCACTTCAGCAGACGGAGGGAGGGGGAAGAAAAAGAGGGAATTTTCTCAATATTATACACCCCCTCCCTTGCAAGAATTTTCATAAACCTTTGGTGCACTCTGCTACTTGCCTGCTAGAAAATGCTAGAGCAGATACAATAAACATGGACCAAACAACACTGAAGGTGACTACTCAGGTACAAGGTGCAAGCTTGCTTTTGAAGAATAGCTTCCTGTGCTTCTGGATATAATTCTATACTGTGGAAGGCTAAGGTTCCTTCTGCCCCACACCCCCCCCCTTTGTTTTTCTTTTTGCCATCTAAAAATTCTTTCTTAGCCTTTTCACATTGGCCGTATCATCTCTGCCAAAACTTAGCAGTCCTAAGTCTCCCCCTACCTTTTTTTCTCATGACCCAGCTATTTGAGAGCTAATTTGGTAAGTAAATATGTTCCTCAAATGACTATAGGGCTCAGTCAAGGATCTAAATAGAACAAGTCTACAAGAAAAAGAAAGACTAATAAGAAAGAAAGGAAAAAACAAACGGAACCAGCACTGTGATGAAACGAAACTGAAACAGCTACAGCATCGGGGGCAGCAGGGAGCGGTAGGGACTGTGACAAAATGAAGAACTCAGGCTCCATCCAAAGGGGTTGGACATGACGTGGCCATTGTGGAGTGAATACTGACTTGATGTTGTCATATATCCTGGTTTTCCAGGACAGTCCCAAAATCTGGAACTTGCTAAAATATATGTTAATTTTTTAAATGCTTGATAATAATTTATTTTAAAATCAAATCCAATCAAACATGCTTATGAGCCAAACCAGAGGCAGCTTGGAAATTCAATGTTACTAGGACCTCCACCTCACCCCTGTCCCTTCACATACACACAATCAAATTGCATTTAACAGGAGCAGTCTGCAAACACCATGCATTTGATTTTAAAAAGTGACTTTAAAGGTGGGAATTTTACATAACACGGTAGAGTCTTAAAGGCAGTCTTTGGGGGCAGAGCGCTTCTCAGGACTGCTCATATCATACCCCACAGGCAGGCAGCATCTCGTCCTTTTGCAGAGCACAGCCCAGATGCACAAAGCCGTGCCCGGTGTGTGGCTAAGGACACGAGAGCTGAGTAGACATGATGGTTCAGTCAGGGTCCAGGCAAGAAAGAACATGGCACATTCAAATTAGGTCACAGAGGAGCATTTGGTGAGGGACTGTCTGCAAAGGTAGGAGCAGCATGGATGGAAACCAAGAAGGGACTATACAGAACCCCAGGGCTGGCAGTAGTGGGGAGCCCTTACCACCACTTGGCCTGAAGGGACCATGGAAGGAGCAGTTGCCAAAGCCCACAGAGTAACTGCATAAAGAGGGCCACCTGGTAGCAGCCCTGGCTGTCAGAGCGATACAGCCAACCTGCAACAGTGAAGGAGGAGCCAGGGAAATAATACCCTGACCTCGCTCTCTTTCCTCTGTCTGTCATTGGCTCAACCCAACTAGAAGTCAGGGTCAAAGAGCCTGTTGATGCAGTCCACATAGGTCCATCTTCCAGGCCACGGAGAAGCATGGAATGAGGATACAGAAGGACAAATGGAAGGTGGGGAAAGCTTGTCATGCTCGAGATTAAGTTACTTAACCTAGTACTGCCTCGGTTTTCTGATGTATAAAAGAATATGAGGTAATACTGCCTACCTCACTGAGTCATTGTAGAATTAAATGAGTTATTTGTAAAGTATTTAGAACATGCCCATCATGCTAAACTTTCTACGTAAGTTCGATAAATAAAAAACATAAATAAGTCAATGGACATCCTGTAGGTATATGAATTATGATGACCTCCCATCCTGGAGGGAAAATACAAAGGTGTTTTCTGGGACCTCGCCGAATTTTGTTTCTGAAGACCTTTTCCTCCGAAGGAGATCCCACAGACTTTGCAGGCGCTCCGTAGGATGGAATTTCTATTCTCTCAGTGACTGCTCAGTCAGGGAGTGACAGCTGTGGAGTTGCAGAACTTAGAACTGAAAGGAGCCGTGGTGGACTCCAGCCAGCAGCACCTGGACGCTGTTCCGTGCACTCTCTACGCTCCCTCCCATTTAATCCTCATTGCGACCTGGTGAGAGAGGTGCTGTTTTTATGCCCACTTTAGAGGTGAGAAAACTCTAAATTGAAAGCACAGTGGGGTAAAAGAACTTGCTCAAAAGTAGGTCACAGCACTACTGAATAGTTGAGTTGGGATTCAATCCCACACAGTGTAGCATGAGATCCTACACTCTCAACCTTATGCTGGCACTTCTGAGCTCCTAAAAGATGCCCCATCTCTCTTCCTCATGTATTGGCCAGAGCCCTGAGCCCTTTTCCAAGCTGCCCATTGTCCTGACCACTTGATTTCCACTCATAGCACCACCATCCTCCCAGGTAGCTGGGTCAGAGCTGGAGTCACTTCTGATGTCTTCCTTTCTTTTCCCAAAGCCCATCAGCCACCAAGGACTGACAGCTCTAACTCTCTGACTACTCTTGATACTGATACCCACCTACTGATTCCTCCCAGTGTATCTCAGCAGGTCCCTAACAATCAGTATCAGCACTGAATTCATTTTATTACTATACAGCTCAATTAATAGCTCACTCTCACAAACCTTCAGTGGCTCCCTAGTGCCCTCCAAACAAGCCTGAACTGAACAAGACCTCCATGATCTAACGCTGACATTATTTCCCTATACCTTCTGCTCCAGTGAAACTAAATGTGTCCCCAGCCCCAGACATTGCCCCAGATTCTTCCTGCTCAACCTTGGTTTGCACAAGTAGGGCTGACCTGGAGTGCCCTCCCTCACCCTTCCGCCATCTCTGCTATCACAGTCTGTGTCAGTTAGGGTCCTCTAAGACTGAGGTATCAAAATGGGATTAGACATGAAAGAGATTTATTGGGGAAACTCTCTGGAAGGATAAAGGTGAAGGTAGTGGGACTGGGCAGGGAGAGCTTTCAGACCAAGGTGCAAGCAGCTCTGAGAAAGTCTCAGCCATGCTGACCAGGAGTCCCCTGCAAAGGCTGCCTATTGCAGGAGTCCCTCGTCATTGGCTGGAGCAGCCAGGAGGGAACATGGACTTCATGTAAACACCACAAAGATCCAAAACTGTGGTGGCTGGAGGCTCCAGTCAGCAAGAGCCCACAGCTGGTTCTCCTGTAGGAACTCTGAGCAGTACACTTGTGGCGGCCACATAGCCCTGCTGTGCCTCAGGACCAGCAGGTGCCACATGCTCCTTGAAGCACCCCAATTTGCCCTGCTAGAAATAACATTGCATTTTTGTACACCTGTGGGGCCTTTTGCCTTTGCCTCCCTCAATGCACCCCCACATTCCACCATGGTTGGCTTCTTAAATATGCCTCATCCTGCCCACTGCAGCTCACTGAAGCAGATGCTGTCAGTGACCTGTCCATGTCTCCTCCACCCACCCCAGCCTGACTTCTCAACTGGAAGCCACTGTATTTCTTCTTCTCAGATCTTTCTCTGGTCCCTGATACCCACCTGTCCATGAATGCACAGTGGGCTGGAAGTCAGGAGCAGCCCCCTGTCAGTGATTGATGGGAGCTGTTGGAAATATGCCCAGATCCCCGCCAAATAAAAAACAAATCTGAATTTAGTAAGGAGAGACTTTATCCAAAGGATTATTGCAAGGAGGGAGGGAGATTTATCTCCCTATTATGGCAGTAGAGAGAATGCTATGACCATAAGGTCTACAAGCATCTCCAGGGTTAGGCAAAGAGGGTTTTCTTTTACAGAGGAGTAAATGAGGCTAGAAGGAACCCTTTGTCAGAAGTGGGATGAAAATGTGGCATGATCAGATAGGAGATCAGAGAACATTTTGCTCTGAGAACAGCCAATTTTCCAGGAGGGACCCTTAAGGAGAAGCTGTGTGCTGGCTTGGGCTGAGGGTGGGCCAAAGTTCAGGGACCTGGAGGAAGGAGAGAAGCTTAATCAAAGTTCAGCTAAGATGCATTTTGTTCTTTTCAATCAATGGGGACAAGCAGCTCAGCTAATCATTTTTGAGGCAAAGAAAAGGAATTTGGAGGATCTGTGTCTGGCTTTGTTGCAGATAAACAAAGGGGGCATCCATCAATCTTATCTAAGTCCTATGGGGAAAGGGGGTTCTTTGTAGTAAACTGTTTTCCAGAATGCAAAAGCGGGGTGCAGGGGGGTGGGGAGGGAGGATTCTTAACCTCGTCTATTTCCCAGGATCATGAGGCTTGGATGAAGTTCAACATTTTCAGTGGATGAGAAAACAGTGAGGTGTTCTGTGCACTGTTTCCCAGGTCCCAGCCTGAGTAGCCAGTCCCTTGCAGTGGTTACTTACTGATCCACACCCTATTGGCTTCCCTCTCTTCCCTGTCTCACTTTCCCACCTCCCTGCTGGTGTTTCCTGGAATCACCTCCCAAAGAACCATTTTCACTGGAAGCTTTTCGTGTCCTGGTCTGGGAGAACCCAGTCTAAGACACCCACTAAACCAGAGATCCTGGACTCAGATGACTGCAGGGCCACGAGTGGGCACCCATGAGGGAAGCGAGCAGGCAGGGGCTGTGCCTCCTACCATGTACAAGAAGGGGTCATCATTCACCTGTTCACAGGTGAATGCAAGAACACTGTAGATACATCTTTTCTTTTTTTCAAAAAGCCAGAAATCCACATTTACAGTTGGAATCACTTAGTTCTCGAATGCTGGCAGTTAACCAATTTTTTTTTAATATTGTGAGAACCAAACACAACACATCTGGGGGTAGGTTCTGACGCAAATTCTGCTGGTCACTTACCTCTGGTCTAAATGTTAAGCTCCCTAAAAGCAGGTTCCACAGGCCCCTTCCTCTTTAAGGCATCTTATCATATGAATTTGATATGTCTAGTGATTGTTACATGCCTAAAATTAAGAGATTAGAAGACAAGCCCTATTTAAAATGAGTCAGTGAGTGACAGAAATAAAACTTAATCCTATAAATGTTCCCTGGAGACCTTTTTCATTACATCCCCACTTATTTAGAGAGAAAATTCAAAACAGCCCTCTAAATTGTTAATTTTGTTAAGGGTGATAATAGGGTTCCTGTGATCTACGAAAATTTCCCCCTTTCTTTTTTGTAGATGCCTACTAAGATTTAGGGATAATAATGTATATTTCCATGAAAGTTAAGAAAGATGGAATAAATGCAATGATAGTTAAATCTAACTGATGGAATGTGGTTAGTCACCGTATCTGTAAGTACGTTTTCTTTAGTTTTCTGTGTCTGAAAATTTTTCATAACATAAAGGAGGAGGGTTGGGAAGAAGTCTTGCCAACAAAGAACTTCCCAAGTTCAAGGAAGGTGAGAATGGCCCCCATGGCCTGGTAACTCTGGGCTCTAGGAGGGGTGTTGTTGACTTCAGTGTCACTGCCCAGCCAGTTCTACACATGGTGAGAGGGTTTCTCTGTGGCCTTTTTCAGACACGGACAGCTGTGAGCGATGGATGAGCTGTAAAAGCGAGTTCTTAAAGAAGTACATGCACAAGGTAATCAATGACCTGCCGAGCTGTCCCTGCTCCTACCCCACCGAGGTGGCCTACAGCACAGCTGACATCTTCGACCGCATCAAGCGCAAGGACTTCCGCTGGAAGGACGCCAGCGGGCCCAGGGAGAAGCTGGAGATCTACAAGCCCACGGCCCGGTACTGCATCCGCTCCATGCTGTCCCTGGAGAGCACCACGCTGGCTGCCCAGCACTGTTGCTATGGCGACAACATGCAGCTCATCACCAGGGGCAAAGGGGCGGGGACGCCCAACCTCATCAGCACCGAGTTCTCCGCCGAGCTGCACTACAAGGTGGACGTCCTGCCCTGGATCATCTGCAAGGGCGACTGGAGCAGGTACAACGAGGCCCGGCCTCCCAACAACGCACAGAAGTGCACGGAGAGCCCTTCGGACGAGGACTACATCAAGCAGTTCCAAGAGGCCAGGGAGTATTAAAGAGACCGGGATGAGGTGGGGCGACGCCACCTCTGGCTTTGTGACACAAGCACGCTGCACTGATCTGCCACTGGCGCCGAGTCCTTCCTCTCCGCACATGTGTCCATTTGTATAGAGCACATAAGTATTTGTTATAGATGACACCACGGCTGTGCACCAGGCCCGGGTACCCGTCATCAGAAGCCACCCTTGCTATCTACGGTGCCTACGGACCTCCTTGGAAGTCCTCCCAGGGGCGATGTGGGCAGGAGGAAGGGGACGACAGAAAAGCCAGAAGGAGAACCTGGGGGACATAGGAGGTGTGACTCAGTTCCCAGGAGGATCACATGTGTCCATTTGTATAGAGCACATGAGTATTTGTTACAGATGACACCACGGCTGTGCACCAGGCCCGGGTACCCGTCATCAGAAGCCACCCTTGCTATCTACGGTGCCTACGGACCTCCTCGGAAGTCCTCCCAGGGGCGATGTGGGCAGGAGGAAGGGGACAACAGAAAAGCCAGAAGGAGAACCTGGGGGACATAGGAGGTGTGACTCAGTTCCCAGGAGGATCCAGTGTTTCCAGAGAGAGACTGAGGTTGTAAACGTTATAAGCGGTTTTTATGTATAACTTATTTAATACAAATGTGACTTAAGCGTAACCTTTTCTCTGGAGTTGTCATCATGAAATGAATCACTTCTGTGAGAGTTTAGAAAGAAAGGGGCTTAGGGAAGTGGAAGAGAAAGGGAATTTTGCAATGATCTCTTTAAAAATAAGCACCACAGTGGAAATGTATGAAAACATGAAAATGCCCACCTTCAACCAAATGCTATTTAGTCATAAGGCACCTTGCTGGAGTCTCAGATTCCAAAATTCTCTTGCCTCAGACTGAGTAGGGGTGGAGGGTAAGTGGGTATTTTAGGGACGAATCTGAGATCTTGTTTTAAGTAGGCTTTAACATAAAAGACCAGTAATAGCATAATGCTATGATTCTACTAAAAGGCCCCAAAGCAGTAAAATTTCTGCTTGTGTCAGTAGGTTCAGAAGAGTCCAGAAAGTTTAGACGTAAAAACAGTGAATAGCACTTTTCCAAAGGAAGAAAATGAAACAAATGGGAAAAGAATATGGAGCTCATTTCATAGATTTTATATTAATACCATCTTAACATTTTTTTCTCCACCAATATATTCCCAATAAATATAAAAAGGGGAGGGGAACTCAAGTCTGGGAAATACTAAGTTTTTTATAGTGGTTAAAGAAAGGAAAAAAAGCTGCATTATTTTTGTAAAGTATTTATTGAGTCATTGGGTCTTATGCTTCAAGGAATTGTAATAGGACCTGGTTCTGTAGGGTAGAACTTAGGACAAATAGTTGGTTCTTATGCAATCTTTTACTTGCAAAACTCCAGGAAAAGAGAATATATAATAAAATCATAATAAAATGTGTTACCTGCATCCTTGATTTATGATACGAATACTATAAATAGCCCTAGTGAAGCAAGGCTTCCAGGCAGGGAAAACCAAAATTCAACCCAGGTGGGAGTACTCCTAAAAGGCTCATTGACTGACAGTATGGTGGGTGGCACAAGTCATTAGTGTCTTTGGCACCAAGAGCATCTACTCAGCCCCCAGGAGGTTGAAGCCCATTGACACATGTGCAACTTTTTGCCCACCCAGAGCTAAGAAAGCTAAGCCAGAGCAAAGACTTAAGACAGCCCAGGTGAGCAGGGCCACTTCCAGACAAAATTCCACAGTTACAGCAGTAAGTACAACTACTCATCATGCAGAGCATTTCTTTTCCAAGTGAGAAAACTAAAGTTCAGAAAACATAAATCACATCAGACCCATCTTTCATTTCCTAGCCCAGTTCTCTTTCTAGTATATCACATTTTTGGTGTCCTTATTTCCTGGTGTCTTTCGTATTCTTGACCCCGTCTGTAAGTTCTCCTGATAAAATCCTGTGCTTATGGAAATGCTCTTACCAGTCATTTACACTTTTAAAATGAATTATTTACACTTAGGATGTATGGGCCACTCTCAGGATATTTACATTTAGGGTCTATGAGTGTGGGATGAGAAATCTTATTCATATCTAAAGAATTTTATGCAACTGAACTAGTAGGAAGAGAATTAATGGGTCTGTATTGGTCTGTTTTCTGTTGCTGATAGCAGAATACCCGAAACTGGGTAATTTATAAGAAAACAAAACTGTAAGAAATATTACAGATTTGGAGGCTAGGGAAATCCAAGGTCTAGGGACACATCTGGCGACGGCCTTCTTCTGGTGGGAACTCTCTACAGAGTCCTGTGGTGACACTGGCAATCACATGGTGAGGACACTCTCTACAGAGGCATGTGCTCTCCTTATAAAGCCATCACTCCACATTCATGATAACCTATTTAACCATTAACTCACTAAGGGATTGAGGGTAGGGCCCTCATGATCCAATCATGAACCCTAGAATCCCCACCTTTCAACACTGCCACCCAGGGGATCAATCTTTCACATGAGCCTTGGAGGGGACAAACATTCAGCCTTTGTCAAGGTCCATCTATCAGAAGCAGATTTGGTTTCTAATAATAGGAAAACTATTTTTGCAAAGAGTGGACTGACAATGGGATGCATTGCCTTTCAGGTGGTGAGCTCCCTGTCAGGACTGGTAGGCAAGAGCATCTGCATGTGCTCTCCTTATAAAGCCATCACTCCACATTCATGATAACCTATTTAACCATTAACTCACTAAGGGATTGAGGGTAGGGCCCTCATGATCCAATCATGAACCCTAAAATCCCCACCTTTCAACACTGCCACCCAGGGGATCAATCTTTCACATGAGCCTTGGAGGGGACAAACATTCAGCCTTTGTCAAGGTCCATCTATCAGAAGCAGATTTGGTTTCTAATAATAGGAAAACTATTTTTGCAAAGAGTGGACTGACAATGGGATGCATTGCCTTTCAGGTGGTGAGCTCCCTGTCAGGACTGGTATTCAAGCACAGGCTGGAGGTCATGCACATGAGAAGCTCACCTGAGTGATGAGGGAAGTCTAACACGTACAGAACAAGACCTTCTGAGAAGTGTTTATTTAAGGATAAGTTCAAAGTGCTATGGGAAAACGGAGGCAGGAATCAGGGAAGTATCTGTTGGTTCTCATAGAGAAGTGGTATTTGATGAAGCAGAAAAGAGGGAGGGGGAAGTGGATGTATCTGGAGTAAGAAAACAGCATGGACAAAGACAAAGAACTAAGAAAGTGCTTGGTGTTTTCTGAAAACTGGGATGTTTGGAGTAATGAGCAGAGGAGCAAGAACAGTGAGTAATGGAGTTATATCTAAGGGTTTTTGCTTAGGATTTAGCATGGAATCTCAACGAAAACAGAGATTTTTCATCCTATAATGAGCATGACTGACAAAAACAGTGTTTTCCATGGGTTGTTTGCCATTTGCTATCTGACGCTGCTGTCCGAATGAACTGAGAGTTGGAAGGTGGATTGCGTTGGGAGAGGGGGAGGGCTCTTGAGCTCTTTGCCTATTGAGGACACCCTAGTCTCCCATGCATCATCAGGATGGCCCCATTGCTCTGGGACATTTTTGTCGCACTGTCATCTCTCTCTACAGGTAGAACTGATTTTCAGTCCCAAAACTCTAGGGGGTCAAAGAGCAATCCTCAGAAATCAAGACATTATTGCCCAGATTATCCAATAAGACAACACAGGGCCCCAAGCCAGGCCCAGGACAACCCCAGGTAATTCCCTCAGTGAGTGGACTCAAGGGCCGACTTTGTCCTGCCCGCAGCAGAGTGAGCTGTCTGTGGCCTCACCGGCAGCACCTGTAAGTGTGACTCAAACACACCTCAGCAGCTGCTCAAGCGCATTGCTCTTTTGCCTTCCCCTGCAAAGAGCCCTAGTAATCCACTGGGCCTCTTGGGTGCCACATTTGAACAAGCCAAAAGTGGCAAAGAGAGATGCCCAAGGCCCTCTAGTGGCTGCACGTGGGAAGGGTAAAGGAGAGACCAGGGGAGTGCATAGCTTTCTCTGCAGCTCCGGATCAAGTGTCCACCATGATTATGGTCTCCCACACATTTCAGTATTTATATCCTTGTGGCCAAGTGGGTAGAGTTCCCCATCCTAAGACCAGGGATCAGAGAAGAGATACTACACCAGCCACCATTTTCTGGGCACACACTTTGCGTCTCTGAGCTAATTACCACAGGAGGCAGCCATTACTATACTCATTTTACAGACAAAGAAAAGAAGCCCAGCAAGGTTAGCCAACTTGCCCAAGGTCATACCACTTGGTAAATGGCAGAGCTAGTGGAAGCCAACTCTGTATGACCATCAAAGCCCAGGTTTTTAAACTGAACCCCTGGGCTCTCCTCTCCTCCTAACTCTTCCTGAGATCAGTAGGATCCGTTCTTTTCTGTGACTCAGTGCTTTTGCTTAGATTGTTCAAAGAGGATCTGGTTCATCTCTGTGTATTCTACTCAATTCTCCCATAATCTGTAACAGGATTTTCTGACTCTGTGGCTGAGCCCTTGCTTGGTCGGGTTGGGTGAGTAGTAACATTTCTAAAAGATATCCTGCTCCATGAACAAGAACAGAGACTGGCCTCTTTTCCCCACTGCACAGAAGCCTGTAGGGTAGGCCTCAGGACAGGCGCTGTGCCGCATGCTTTCCCACACCCCCAGTGCCCAGCATTGCAGCTGACATGGCGCCAGGCGATGTGCAGAGGGCTTAAGAGTTTGAGGGTTCAGTCAGACTGCCTGGATTCTAATCCTGGCTCCCTCACTTGCCTGCTGGGTACCACTGGATAAGATAATAAGTCTTTTACAGTTTACTCATACAGTTATTGTAAGAATAAAATGAGATAAGATACATGAAGTTCCTGGCACAGGGCCTGTCACAAACCCTGTGCAGTGAAGGTATTTAGTCATTACAGTTTACTCATACAGTTATTGTAAGAATAAAATGAGATAAGGTACATGAAGTTCCTGGCACAGGGCCTGTCACAAACCCTGTGCAGTGAAGGTATTTAGTCATTTAACAGATATTTATTGAGCATCTACTAGGTGCCAGGCATCATTCCAGATGCCAGAGATATAGCAGTGTACAAATCAAAAGCCCTCCTTTTGGATAATCTGATAAGTAAATAAGTACATGCTTTAAGATAATGGTAAGTGATATAAAGACAAATAAGATTTTTTTATCACACATGTGTGATGTTGCATTATTTAAGGTGATGCTAGTTGCTGTAATAGGTAATCTTCAAAATCACGGTAGCTCAACACAGTAAAAATCTAAAGAGTATGTTTCTGGTC